ACCAGAAAAAGAGGGCTGTGTCCAGCCAAGAGAGGTAAAGCTCTCTCCCAGGACATGTGAATAGCTCACTCCCTTTGCTGTCTACACTAGATCTTCCATTCATAAGCAGCGAATGGGCCAGCAGGGTGGTGCTGCAGTTATGTGCAGCTCAAGTGATGCTGGATCCTCATGGGGTGGGGCGGGGAGGTTGCAGGTTCCGTTCTCCAATCCATCTGTACATGCTAGACCCTGTACCCATGATCCTGGCTGACTTGGAAGGCTTAGGGAAGAAGGGGAGAGATCGTGGCATGAGGCCCTGTTGAGCGTGTTTGTCAACTCTCTCTCTCTGGAAATAAATAAACTTTTTGAAAATAAGCAGTAAACTTTGCCTTGTGTCTGGAAATTTTAACTGATCATGGTGTGCACTGTACTATTTAAATCTTATAGAATAAGAATATGTTGACATAATTTATGTGAAGTATGCAGTCATTTTTTATTTTTCTTAGCAAAAAAGGCAAGGGGGCTGCCCCTGTCACTCCTTAGCAGTTATGGGAGCTGAATTCCACATAACTGATTGCAGTTCAAATTTCAGAACTGCTGGCTTGAAAAACTCACGTGTGTGTGTGTGTGTGTGTGTGTGTGTGTGTGTGTGTGTGTACACATGCTCAAAATGTCAACAGGATAGAGAAAGAGAGAAGAGATTATGACAGTATGGGGTGATGCCTTCTTAATTGAGGAATATTAAGCAACTTTAATCTGGAAGTTTAGAAAACTATTTGAGTTCAAAAATAGGTCTTTACACTCAAAAAGGAATTTGGGGCTAGTTCACATATATTTCACTGTTGCTCTAGTGGATGAAAGGGTGTGAGACAGAGAGAGAATGGTGTGGAAATGAGTGAATTTAAAGGCCAGCACCAAACCCAAATTCATCCTGAAGCACACATGGGCATGCCTTTCATCCCCAGTCACCACCCTGGATTCTGTGGTCAGCAGACCCTGCCTCCTTCAGGCAGGCCCCCAGCATCTTCTTTTGTTTCTTGACTGTGCTCTCTTGGCAAAACCCTAGGCTGGTTGGACCCAGTTATCTCACTGCTGTACGCTCTGCCCCAGAGCCGCTACATGCTGCCAGAGAAAATCACTGTAAGTGAACCGATTAGTTACACTTTAATTTCATGACTACAGAATTCGAACAGGGACATGGCCTTTGGGCTGCTGGCCTGAGCTTTTCTTTTGGGCTCACTTTGTCTCTCTCAGAAAACCATTCTGCACTTCTCTCTCCTTTAAACTCTCCCACCTCCCCTTTGGCCAGTAAGGATAAGTTACTCATCATGGAAGCAAGAAAAGAAAACAATCCTCCACAGAAATCCCTCCCCTTCTTAGCACCAAACCTGCAGAGGCACCTACAGCTGGCCTCTCACTCCTGCTCAATGGAAAAATGAGTCTCTGCTCCTCACAGAGGCCCGAGTGCCCTGGAGCTCCACCCTCCTCGTCTTCTCCAGGCATGTGCTCCTTTTCTGCATTTGAAAAATTAAACTCGAGTCATCTCGCTCCTCTAATTAAAACCTGTGGAGCCAGATCCGTGACCTAGTGGTTAAGATGAATGGAACCCACATGATTCAGTGCACACTTTGAGTTCCAGACCCAGTGGCTAGAGTAACACATTGGGCATGTGTGTGTCAATGCCCCAAATTCCAAAAGGTGAGAGAGATTGAAGAGAAGCGGTTGTGGCATGACCATGCCCCATGTGGGGTGCTTTCTCCTCTTCTCTGTCTCCCCTTGGTGAGCACATATACCCTCTAGCACAAAAAAATTAAGTAAATAAAAATGAAAGTAAATTAAATAACCTTTTGTGACTCCCCTGAACTCATCAGAAAATCCTTAACTATTGGGCAGTGGAGCCTGGTCTCTAGTAACCTCTTTAATCCCAGCTCCTCCTGCCCTTCCTCACCTGCCTTCTCCCCCTTCAGGTGCTCACACCTGCTGTCTATTCTCTCCTCTGCTGTGCCTGTGCTCTTGCCTCGGTCTTCACCTCACTGGTTTCTTCCTGTCCCTCCCTCCCCCTCCCCTACATCACTTTGTCTATGTCCTTCCTGCACTTTGTGGTGGACACCGTGAATGCCCAACCTCACAGGCATTGGCCTATCTCCAAGTTCACCTGTGGCTGAGACTTGCTGACCAATTCCCTCTGCTTGAGCCTGGATCTCTCTGCTTCTGAGTTTCTAGGCTTCTTCCTCTGCCCCACAGAATTGGCCCAGCTAGGTACAGGAACAACTCAGGAGGACAGGGAAGTTGGCGTCCCTGGGGACAACTCCTAATCAATAGGAGACAGGAGTATTTGCATTCCAAGCTCCCATCTCTAAGAGGGAAGAGTTTGAGAAACATCACCATTCCTCAGAGGGACCCATGGGATTGAGTCTTGGTTGCAATTCCCTTTCATTAATGTACATATTATTGACTTTTCTCCTTCCCTGTCTTGGTTTCCCCATCTGCAAATTTGTGCTTCTTGAGATCACCTGCCATGTAAACCACCAGCAACCAAGTTCTAGTCATGGAGCCAAGCAACAATCTAAAAAGGCTTGTTCTCCTACATATTTTCTGTCTCTCCCCACCAGGGATGGTGCAGAGTCTTTCCTATCTTATTCATCACTGTGTTGTTGATTGGAGGGCTGGACAAAGGGGATCCTGGTATGATCAGACCCTGCAGAGAGTGTTCCTTTCTCTGTAATATACATCTCTAACTTTCTCTCACTCTCACTCTCACAAAGCACATGCACTCTATCATGAATTGCTTTTTAAATGGTGAGTAATTTTTTAAGGTAGAAGAGAAGGGACTGTGGCATGGCCATGCCCCATCTACAGTGCTTTTGCCTCTCCTTCTCTCTCTCTCTGTCTCTCTCTGGTGGCCACACACATCCCCAGTAATTAGCTTGAATTTTCTAAATACAGCTTCATCATTCTGTGGGTCTGCAAGGCTCACTTCAAACACAGGTCACTTAAGGCCATAGATGCAATTTTGGTCCCTCGAGTCCTGGTTTCTAATAGTTTTTCCCGTATTGCTTATATTGAATGCATCAGGTGCTTTCACATCATACCGATCTTAGAAAACAGATCACCCCTTTATTATTGGCTCTCTTTTCACTGCCTCTTGTTAGGCACTTTTTCTTGCCAGCCACCATGGCGCTACTCAAACAGCCAAAAGGACAGCATCTGCATTTTCAACAGTGACCCCAGAGTAATTCTCACAGTTTTCCATGGCCCTCAGCTACCTGAGAGCTGTGGCACAAGCAGCTTCTGAGAGGTGGGTGCCTGAGCCCTTTGTGTGTGCTGACACTCTCCTGGCTGAGGGGATCTCAAACGTGCTAGGTTTTTAATCAGGATCCCTGGTCCCTTGACTGTGGCCTCAACCAAGCCCTGAGCATGAGCCTATGCTGTCTTTATTCTGATCACAGAATGAGCCACAGCCAGAGCTCTGACGCTGTTATCTTTCCTCTACATGTACCCTGATTCCTCACCACCTTGCTAGAGAGCTCTGCCTTTGATCTCAATCCGAATCTTGAGTATAGTCACCGATTCAACCCTAATTGTAAACACAGATTGACCCTCAACTTTGACCCCTCCAAAGGCAGAGCCCCCAGTTCCCTCTCACCTAGCTGCCTCTCACTCAGAGGGATGAGCGAGGAGATGTGGATGACTCTGTGCAGGGTGTCCTCCATCCAGATGGAGACACACAAGAGAGCCCGAGTTCCCCCTCGGTGGCCTCTGGGTACACTGAGAGAGGGCTCAGGAACCCAGGGGCTGTGTGTGAAAGGCTGGCTCCACATGCAAGGCTGATTAATGTGCATCAAGTTTCCCTCATTCCCCAAGTACCTTCTCCAGATCATTGCTTCTCTGATTAATTCTTCAGAACAAAGCACTCGGCACTTATGTGAAGATTGAATGGAGGAACTTAGAAGCTTTTTCCAGTGTCGGTTCCCCAGGCCTTTTCTGAGTGCTTGCTCTGTCTAAGCATCTGAGGGACTGGGTGGCCCATGCCTAGAACTCAGCCAGAAAACACATCGTGTTCTGCTTCCATGGGTTTGCTGGTGCTTTGGAGACAGTTTCATGCTACAGCTGAGTCCAGTGAGTAACATTCTGACTTAGGAGTCACTGAGGTATTGGGTTAAATTCTGTCACTAGGTGAAAGTGGTTCTCCTTTGAAAGATAAGATACATAAAGAGTTTATCTTACCACCACCACCACCGCCATCATCATCATCGCTATATGCACAATAGAAAACTATCTTTTTATTTTTATTGCCAGAAATTGTGTACACTCACCAGAGAGAGCGAGACAAGAGAACCCCTCAAAGGGTCATGCAGCAATGCTCTTCCTTCACTTCTCCACCCCGTTTGAATTTTGTATACATGTGCACACATGCCTGACATGTTTTTCAGGCTGCTGAGCCCAGCTCCTTAACCACTTTCTTGGCCCAACTATGAAAATTCTTTACCTGAATTACTTCATTTAAGTCCCAAGATTTAAAAAGTAATGACTAATTTGGAATACATGAGCATCATTACTAACAGGAGAGGCCTTGTCACGCCAGAGGTCAGGATCAGAAAAGTGAATTCCTCAGTGAAGTTGTAGTTTTCCCATCACTAGACTTAAAGCAGACACACAGAATGAGGAAGCTGTATTTAGAAAATTCAAGCTAGTTATGGGGATGGTCAGGGCAAAAATTGCCTGCCTAATTTCCATGGTATGAATCCTACCTGTGACAAAATGTTTCATGGCCCCCAAAATGGCAGATTGATTGAAGCTCATGTCGATGTTAAGACTACCAATGGCTATTTCTGTCATATCTTTTGTATTGGTTTCACACACGCACGCACACGCGCGCACACACACACACACACACACACACACACACGTACACAAACTATGAGATATAGAAGACCTCCTATGTTTCATATCAGCATGTCCACCAAATCTAGAAGAAGATGATTAGAAATCATGACCCAGGAGAGGCAGACAAATGACTTGAGAGAAGTCATTTATAAACTGATTCTAAACAGCACTGGAAAAGACATAGAAAAGGCTTGACAATCTATCCTCTTCATGATGTCTTCTTTTTTTTTGTCAGAAAGTAAAAATACTGAAGTCCAATTCTGAATCAAGAAAATCCATGGTGCTTCATGGTGAAGGTGCAGTTCTGGCAAAGCGACTGGGGTGAGACAGGTGCTAAGGTGCTGACATCAGATGAGCTGATGGATGTGAACGACCAGTTCAAGAATCTGTTTAAAGTTCAGACTTTTAATAGTGACAAATAAAAAGTCCTATTTGTGAAAAAATAAAACAATATACAGATCCTGCAGTCTCACCACATAACCTATAAACTCTCCAGGTGATTCTAATGCATGCTGAACTCTTCATAGTTTTAAAATAGGGTGAATGTGTACACCAGAGAACCAAAGACAGAGAAAGAGAAAGACAGAGGGCTAGTGAGAAATTGCTCTCCAGGGGGAATAACCATGAATCATTCCCTTCTCCTCTCACAATCTTGTGCACATACGCACACAGACTGGACATGTTTCTCAAGCCACCAGCTCTAGGACTCAGACTACACAGTTGCCCATGTAGCTCCAGCTACCCCAACCACACCATTGGCTGGCCTAAACTTTTCTTTCTTTTTCTTCCTTCTTTTCTTCCATCCTTTCTTTCTTTTTCTTCCTTTCTTTCTCTTTTTCTCTCTCTCTTTCTCTCTCTCTTTCTTTCTTTCTTTTTCTCTTTCTCTCTTTATTTCTTTTTTTTTTCTTTCTTGCTAGAGAGCTCATACACTTGTGAGGGGGCAGGGTGAAAAAGCACCACCTAAGAGTAGAAGTCAAATCACAATCCCCTCTCCTCCATCTTTTCCTCTTTTGAGAATTTTGGGTATGTACACACACATGCCCAATCTGGTTTTCAAACCACAAGATCTGGGACTCAAACCACGCAATCAGCCACATGGGATCCAGTGGCCCTACTCACCAGGACCACAGGCTGGCCTACTGCACATTAACCTTTAAGGCTCTCTGCTTTGGATTTTGCAAGGCTTTCCTTCCAGGAGGTTGGGAAATTCACCATCCTCTCAGCCACAGTACACAAACACGTTTCCGCTCTCTTCCCTACTTGGACCTCAGGGTGGCAGATGGAGCCCTGCTCCCTGCCATGGAACTTCAGCTGTGCCTCAAAGGTCAGCTACTTCCTCCTTAGGCACTGAGAAATGGTGGTGCCTTAGGATCTGTCTACGTGCACCCTGGGTTGGCTTTCCCCAACACAAACAGCAGATTTTCCCTGACAGTAACAGCAATAACAAAGAGCAGCAGCTCGTGTTTATGGAGTGCTTACTAAATGCCAGGTAACTATTCAATAGTAATGCATGAGCCATATGCACAGTAGCTCATTTAATCCCTGCAACCTTTGACAAAGGGGCTATCGCTGTGCCCATTTCAGAGATGAGACCAGATTTTCCCTCATCTGAATTTCTCAAAGGTGTGGGAGAACTTCAGGCCTCGCTCCCTATTTCTGGATGTGGACAGAAAGGCTTACTTCTCTTGTACTGTTTCTCATGTATCTCTGAGGGCTGCTAGCCTTGCCTGTTCAAGAACCCTGTTGTCCTTTCCAAGGGCAGCACCACAGAAGCAATGCAAACTAGAGCAGGGACTCCTCAGCCCCCAGCCTTCGTTGTTTTGCTAACGTTTAGGCCTGGAAGGGACTCCTGGTCTGACCTGGCATTTTACACCCATCGCAAACCTCTCCAAGAAATGAGTTCCTACAGAAATGTTGCTCTTTTTTTCTCTGAATTGTTGACGACATTTGGATATAATTGGGATATACATTGGTTTCTGTCAAAAATGTAGGCCACCTAAATGGGTAACTGAAGTTTATCCTCTCAAGGTTCATCTTGGTCAGTTAGAATCTAGTTAGTTTTGCCGTCTGGTAGGTGATTTCAGTGGGAAAGGAAAATGCCATGTGCTTCTTCCATTAAACATGCATTTTGAAGTTAAAGTCATATATAGACACGCACTTTAAAAATTCGAGCAATTCAGGAGAGCTCATGATGAGACACACTTTCGCCTCCTCTTCCCCAGGTGGCACCTAGTGGGGACTCCAAGCAGAGCTGTATGTGGGGAATATTTGTTAGTTAACACTTTAACATTTCTATTAATATTTATCTTTTCAAAGCCCAGTGGTGTAGAGATAAGAGCTCTTCCTCATTCATTTGATTTGACATCGCTTGTGAAATATAGTGTTTATTACCAGGTTGGAGAACAGGGGTTTAACATTAAAACAGGTATTTATAATTGCAGAAAGACAAAGAGCTGGTGGAATGAAAATACATTTTGAGCATTTTGAGAGTCCAAGGGAAAGGAAAAAGTTGCCTATGAGACAACTGCCCCACGGTGACAATCAGTTGGGGGCTTCCAAGAACAGGCTGCGTGTGTGCCCACTGGTCCCACTGCTCAGAGATGGAGCTGGTATCTACTCAGATGAATACTCGCTCAGCTGCAGCTTCCGTGGAGGCTGTTTTCAAGGAAGATTTTTGCAGAGGTGTAGGATCCCAGTGTTTGCTCCCTTTAATCTGCCTCTTTTTTTTTTTTTTTATCCAAAATGCATATTTGGCCTCTACTCAAAGCCCCAGATCTGTGCCTCCGTGAGTCAAACTGGCTCTTCTGTACTTCCCCAATGTGGCATGGGGAGAGAGAAAGAATCCCAGGGTGGGTGTGTCCCTGAAGGTGACCTCTTTGATCAGTGATGCAGCACCTGAGTCACAGCTTTAACCTCCCTCCTAGGAGCTTGCCTGGCATCTGTTAGCACACCTCCAGCAACAGGTTTCTCACCACCACTCCAAGTGTGCCCTTCCATCAGTGAACAGCTTAGGTCAAGGCAAATCCTTTATGTGGAGCTAGAATCACTGCATCTTGGGGAGGGTTAATAAGACAATCGCTAGCCCCCCTTGCTGGAGACTCCCCCATCCCTCACTCTGCCTAGAAGCATTAATTCCATTATCAAATGGTCAGCCCTAGGGAATGAACTTTTAAAGGCTTAAAGCTAGGTAGGTTAATTAAAATCTTTGATCAAAGCCCCATAAACAGCATAAAACTTCTCTCTCTTAATTATCCTGGATGGTCTCACAAGCATTAAAGTCAAAGGGGAGAAGATGGAGAGCCAGAGAGGTGGGGTGGGAGGTGAGGGGCTGGGAGGAGACTGTCCTAGAAAGCAACAGCCACCAGGCCAGAAGCTGCCATGTCAATGCTGCCATCATCTCTCCATGACAGGGAACGGTGCAGAGGTGGGGATACTAATTACTCAGAGTACTTGTGTCAAAATGCTCTGCCAGGGACCAAGAGATGGCATAATGGCTATGTTGCTGGACTCCCATGTAGTTGACCATGGTTTGAGTCCTGCACTCGGTGACTTAAAGTCATGCTGGGCGTGTGTGTGTGTGTGTGTGCGTGCCCAAGATTCTGAGAGGGAAATGGTGGAGAAGAGATTACAACATGGCCATCCTCCCCGGGGGGTGTTATTTCTCACTTTCTGTCTCTCTCTGTCTTTCTTGTGAGTGCACGTACTCTATAGCAAAAACAAACAAACAAACAAAACAAAACAAAAAACAACTCTGCCAGATGCTAGGAGCATAAGAGGAAAGACCCAGTCCCTGGCCCTGAGGATGAGCCAGGGGCTCTTGAGGACACCAAGAGTGGATACTTACAATATGAGGTGACAAGCATCCCAGAAGCAGAGGAGGCGGGAAGAGGATGAGAAACCACAGAGTGAGAGCCTCAGGATGTCAGCAATGCTTCTGGAGCTGGGACAAGATGGATGTGTTGGAGTCAGCCAGCAGGAAGTCAAGAGAAGTGCTGGGCAGAGTGGAGAAGCTTGGAGGTGAGAATGTTCTGGGTTTGGTAGGAGCAGGAGGCAGAGATGAGGTGGGTGGTGGAAAGAGATTGAAAAGCCTAGCAGGCACAGATCGTGAAACACATTGTGCTAGGAACAAGTTCCAAGGGCAGTGGGAGATCTTTTGGAGGTTTGGGTAGTTTAGAAACATCAGTCTAGTGGGCAAGAAGACAGTGATACAAAGGCAAAATATGCTCTGCAGAGCTAACCCATAGGGAGTGGGTTCCATGTTCAAGTCTGGAATATGCTACACCCATGATCTGGGGCTGGCTGGGGGTGGATCTTGGCATCACTGGGATTCTGTTGGTTTTTTTTTTTTCTCTCTCTCTTTTTCTCTCTCTGACTTTTAGAAGAAAAAATTGAAAAGCAAAATATTATTTAAAAAGGGTGAGCCAATGGCCTGGTAGTTGAGTGGCTAGATCCCACACGTCCAGCTGTGTGGTTCAGTCCCAGACTAAGCAGCTTGAAAAATACACCAGGCATATATGCATGTGTGCATGCCCAAAATTCTGAAAGGAGAAATGGAGAAGGAACTTTGGCATGACTGTCCCCCATGGAGTTGCTTTCTTACTTTCCTTCTCCCTCTCTCTGGCTCTTTCCTGAGAGCATACATGCTCTCTAGCAATTTTTTATTTTTTTAAAGAAGGAAAGGAAGGTTGGTGGGAATGATAGTTGTCATAGAGTGAGCCAGGAGCAGGAAGTCCAGGTGAGAGAAGGGGCTGACCAGCCTCAGGTGATGGTAGGGAAA